TCTCAAGATGTATCTATCCAGGTACAGTCTGTTCGATATCAAACTAAACCAGGACTGAATCCCAGGCTCTAAATGTCACACAGGGATACAAGCATAACTATCAGTGTCAATAGGGATACTAGCAATCAATTTATCAGTGTCTCAACCAGGACACAATCCCAACAGCTACATTCCCATGACTAATCAATGCCACTACACAAGGCGGATCTCATTAGCTATCTATGTCGATAAAGACACTAGCAATCAATTGATCTATGTCTCAACCAGGACATGATCCACACGGCTACAATCTGTTACTTACCAACGCCACTACACAGGGCGCAATCTTGTTAGCTATTGATGTCAATACAGACACTAGCAATCAATTGATCAATGTCTGAACTAGGACATGATCCACATGGCTGCAATCCTGTCACTAATCAACGCCACTACACAATGCACAATCTCGTTAGCTTTCAAAGTCAACACAGACACAATCAATCACTGAGCATTGTCTCAACCAGCACACGATCTACACGGCTACAATCCCCTGACTAATCAACGCCACTACACAGGGCCCGATCTTGTTAGCTATTGATGTCAATACAGACACTAGCAATCAATTGATCAATGTCTGAACTAGGACATGATCCACATGGCTGCAATCCTGTGACTCATCAACGCCACTACACAATGCGCGATCTTGTTAGCTTTCAAAGTCAACACAGACACAATCAATCACTGAGCATTGTCTCAACCAGCACACGATCTACACGGCTACAATCCCTTGACTAATCAACGCCACTATGCAGGGCCCGATCTTGTTAGCTATTGATGTCAATACAGACACTAGCAATCAATTGATCAATGTCTCAAACAGGACACGATGACTAATCAACCCCACTGTACAGGGCATGACCTCATTAGCTGTCGATTTCAATACAGACACTAGCAATTAATAGATCAATACCAATGCTTAAGGCACGATCTCCACTTGTTTGTTTCAACGAGAACTGTGTTACTTCTAATACCATTGTCAAAGCAGAGTCTCAATCAACTGAGGTTTTTTCGTTATATCTATAACGTAGTTGACAATCACAATATGGGGATGACGGAGTTATATATTATCTATGTACATCGAATGGGTTAATCTCATTACAGGATTTGCGTAATTACTATATGAACAAGTTAAGACGTAAATTACAATGGGCCTCAAATCTCAATTTTGCTACATACTAACCCTTTCTGGGGTTCTAAGACAGCATATGCAATGTTCTGCCTCATCAGGTAGAGCTTATCTTTCTCTCCTCTAACCGGCTGGGTTGACCCGCCTCGCAAGGTTCTTACCTCAATCCCTAACGGTTTCAGAGCTCATGGCTTTGGTTTTCAAATCCCGCCAAATAACAACGAACTCTAGGTTGGGCCCGGCTCCGAACCCGACATTGTATGTATTGTATTTGTAAACATAATTTAGTGTGAGTCAGTGTAATGGAATTCAACTCTTTATATGCTAAATATTCACATCTGTTATAGGAACAACATAACAACAAAAAAACGAAAGGTGAGCCTAAAGAATTTTAAAACTGTGTCTGAAAGAAAAGTTTTTTAATAATATCAAATAAAACTCATGATAATTGCCGGCTTGGCCCTTTTTTAATTATAAATACCATTAAAAGTTTTGCATTTGTAACTTTATAACTGATGTCCTCTACAAGCTACACTACAGGACAAAGTAGATTTTTATTTTACGTTAAAATTAAATAAAAACATGTTTGAACCCACACGTGAAAATGTTAAATGTCGTTTTTTTTCATTCTTATCTTGCATGTTTGCTGGAAAATCTATGTAAAGAAGGATAAACATATGTTAGATTTAGCAATTTATATATTAAACAGATTACTAGATAATGAAGGATAAACATATGTTAGCTTTTGTAATTTATATAAGTAACATATTACTAGATAATGAAGGATAAACATATGTTAGATTTAGCAATTTATATAAGTAAACAGATTACTAGATAATGAAGGATAAACATATGTTAGGTTTTGCAATTTATATTAGTGAACAGATTACTAGATAATGAAGGGTAAACATATGTTAGATTTAGCAATTTATATAAGTAAACAGATTACTAGATAATGAAGGATAAACATATGTTAGATTTAGCAATTTATATTCATAAACAGATTACTAGATAATGAAGGATAAACATATGTTAGGTTTAGCAATTTATATTAGTGAACAGATTAATAGATAATGAAGGGTAAACATATGTTAGATTTTGCAATTTATATAAGTAAACAGATTACTAGATAATAAAAGATAAACATATGTTAGATTTTGCAATTTATATTAGTAAACAGATTACTAGATAATGAAGAATAAACATATGTTAGATTATACAATTTATATTAGTAAACAGATTACTAGATAATGAAGGGTAAACATATGTTAGATTATGACATTTATATTAGTAAACAGATTACTAGATAATGAAGGATAAACATATGTTAGATTTTGCAATTTATATAAGTAAACAGATTACTAGATAATGAAGGATAAGCATATGTTAGATTTAGCAATTTATATAAGTAAACAGATTACTAGATAATGAAGGATAAACATATGTTAGATTTAGCAATTTATATAAGTAAACAGATTACTAGATAATGAAGGGTAAACATATGTTAGATTATGACATTTATATTAGTAAACAGATTACTAGATAATGAAGTTTAAACATATATCACTCATGTATGCTGCGTCCACTAGCGCTTGATCCTGTCAGGGTTTAGTGATGTGTTTGTTGTCTATTCTGAACCAATAGGAATAGTATGGCGGTAACATCTATCTTACTATCTATCTCTTATATAGTTAAAATATATAAGGAAGGACAGTTTATAGCTAGAATCTGTAAGGAAGGTATATAGTTAGAATATATAAGTAAGGACGGTATATAGCTAGAATCTGTAAGGAAGGTATATAGATAGAACATATATAAGGAAGGTATATAGCTAGATCATATGTAAGGATGGTATATAGCTAGAATATGTACGGAAGATATATATATATAAGGGAGGTTTTTGACTAGAATATGTAAGGAAAGTTGAAGCTAGAATATGTAAGAAGGGTATATAGCTAGAATATGTAAGGAAGGTATAAAGCTAGAATATATATAAGGGAGGTTTATAGCTAGAATATGTAAAGGAAGGTATAAAGTTAGAATATATAAGAAAGGTATATAGATTATAGATTATAAATTAGCTCGTGTTAGGAAGGTAGAAACATGTTAATTACATTTTTTAAGGAAAAAAAATAAAATATTAAGTTGGATACATGAAGAAGAAGGCAAGGCATTAGTTGATAAGAAAAATCGTAGACATAGCTATTACTTTATATGTTAGAAAGGTGGTTAGCTAGAATATTACATAAGTTGATGTTATATATAGATATATAGATGTGTATATATAAATATATATATCTATATATAAATGTAGAATGAACAAGTGTTTCTTCCTTCTATATCTATATTTCATTAGTCATCCTCTTTATACTCGACAATTGTGATATTAACAAGCGAGGTCTCGTTATAAATAGAGATAACTTAATTAAGCACGTTTTTCAGTTAGTCGTTAATTTCAGAGGAAAGAATGGAACGTTAGTTCCGTATTTTGAAATTACCGTTAGTTAAAGATTTAAATTTTATTAACATTGTTAACAGAAAAAAAGTAAAAACCGTTAACAGTACAATACAGTATTAAAGTAAAAAAAATTCGTTAACAGTTTAAGAAATCGTTAACGGAGCAGTAATATACGGTTAATTACAGCATCAATGGCTTAAGAAATCATAAACGGCGCGAAGCGCCAAAAAAATCGTTAACTGTTTAAGAAATCGTTAACGGTTTATTACAGTATTAACGGTTTAAAATCGTCACCAGCATAGCCGTAACGGTTTATTACAGTTTTAACGGTTCCTGAAATCGTTAACGGTCTTTTGTAGCATTAACGGCGTAAAACTTCCACAAAAATTCGAGGTTTTACAAATTCCAAAATTGTTATGTTAATTGATTGAAGAAGAGTAAATAACAAAAAATATTTTTAAGTTTAAAATGTGGGACGTTTTTTAAAATCAATAATCCTAAGTTTTACTTTAATTGCATGTTGATCAAGACAAAGCATTGTGAACTCAGTTTATTTCAACCTTTGTTACCTGTAATTTTCAACATTAAAACAAAAATCCAGGTTTAAAAATTTGTCAAACGCCGTAAGTGCTCAAATTCCCTGTCTTCTCCTGAAATTATTTTCACAAATTTATTTCACTGGTAAAAATTAAAGAAAAACTAACATACTAGTAAGCATACATCACCACACCACATTCTGAATTTACATTCAAAATAAGTGGGAAAATTTCCTTGATAGAAAAAACAATGTCGATAATAAATCTTTTTTTTTGCCAAATCAATATCTAAATTTAATGGAATTATATCACAAAATGAGTCTGTGTGAAAAAACATGCCTTATTATTGCGTGAGCAATTAAAATTAAAAAACAGCTGAGGGAAGGTTTTTGTTTGATCGAATTTTTAAAAACTCTAACAAAATTCTATCTTCGAAAATTTTGAAAATCCACGAAATTTTTTGATAAAATCCGCAAATTTTTTTGTTTGTTTTTGTTTTACAATGAGAAAATGTTCACTATTGAAATAGAAGTCTAGAAATATAGATTTGGCAGAGAATTTTTTTTAGAGTTCAGGTCGCAATGACTGTAAGAAAAAGAGTGGGTGAATTCTAAACCTCCATTCGTTTTTTAAGTTTCCTTCTTTGACATGGTAACCCTGTTGTGAAAAACAGCAAATTTACCTAGGAAGCAAAAAGCTATAAGCCTAAATTTTTTAATCTCTACATCTGTTGAACCTGATGATTGATGTTATTGATTATTCGAAACAGAATCAAAAGTTTGAAATATCAAAGATATTAGTAATAAAAAATAACCCTGATAAGCGAGTGTCCATTTCTAAAATTTTTTTTGAACTTTATTATTTATGAATTTTATTAATTTTCAGAAGATATGTCTCGTGATCTGCGATTAGAAACTATTTTTAGGAACATTCTGTTTTCAAGTTCTTTTTCTGGATATATATATTTATATATTTATATATATATATATATGTTCTTTTTCTGGATATATATACTTGCATACAATAAACCTGAACGGGCCCAGACTTATGGATGGTTAAAAGGGACAAATATTACCCGGGAAAAATATCAATTTTCTAAAATCTAGAAATCCATCAATGTTTTGAGAAAAATCCGCAAATATTTTGAGTTTCCCAATTACTTGAAAATTGCAACATTCAAACGCTTAAATTGTTGAAAGAAGAGGGGAACAAAGAGTCCTTTTTAAAAAAAGTTCAATATTTAAGATATTAAATTTAATTGTCTAAAAAAATTTTTATTTTAAACAGATGGGTTTTAGTCGTTGTGATCAGCAAGGAAATGGATTTATTGGTCCAGAGGAGTTTAGACAGCTTTGCTCCGAGTTCGATATTTCATCGGTAGGTGTCTCAATATATATTAATGTGTTCTCACTGCGGAAGTTTTTATATACTTGTTTAACACTTTTTAACAGGAGGGAGAAACGCTTCATTGGAGACCCCGAACCAATCTCAAACTCTGACTGGGACCCCAAATCTTAGAGACTTCGATGAAAAGCTTGGAGTCTCCCATAAACATCTATAAAAAAGATAAATAAATAAGATGCTTAGGATCTTTCGATGAGAAACTTTGGATCTCCAATGAAAATCTTTGGTGTTCAATTAAAAGCCTAGGGTCTCCATTAAAAAAACTGGAGTCTCCAAAAAAAATTTTGTGTATCCAATTAAAACTTTGAGTCTAAAAATAAAAATCTGAAGTTTCTGATGAATAGCTTTGGGTTTTAATTGAAAATCTGGGGGTCTCTGATAGGAAGGCCTGGGGGGGTCTCTGATAGTACTCCATTGATGGTGATTTCTTTCCAGATTCAATATATATATAATGTATATACGAGGACTTAATGAACGTTTGATCTGGATATGCGATGTAGGCATTATATGAGGATCCTTAAATTAAAGCTATACTGGGATCTCTTTTATTGAGGATTAATGCTTGATCCTTAAATTAAAGCTACACTGGGATCTCTTTTATTGAGGATCAATGCTTGATCCTTAAATTAAAGCTATACTGGGGACTCTTTTATTGAGGATCAATGCTTCCTTAAATTAAAGCTATACTGGGGACTCTTTTATTGAGGATCAATGCTTAATCCTTAAATTAAAGCTATACTGGGGACTCTTTTATTGAGGATCAATGCTTGATCCTTAAATTAAAGCTATACTGGGGACTCTTTTATTGAGGATTAATGCTTGATCTCAATATTTTGTTGATTTGCAGATTAATTTAATCTTTATTCAAAAAAGGAATGCTAAATGAAAGGAATACTAAATGAAAGGAATACTAAATAAAAGGATACTAAATGAAAGGAATACTAAATGAAAGAAATACTAAATGAAAGAAATACTAAATGAAAGAAATACTAAATGAAAGGAATACTAAATGAAAGGAATACTAAAAGGAATACTAAATGAAAGGAATACTAAATGAAAGGAATGCTAAATGAAAGGAATGCTAAATGAAAGGAATACTAAATGAAAGGAATAATAAATGAAAGGAATACTAAATGAAAGAAATACTAAATGAAAGGAATACTAAATGAAAGAAACTAAATGAAAGGAATACTAAATGAAAGAAATACTAAATGAAAGGAATACTAAATGAAAGGAATACTAAATGAAAGGAATAATTAAAATGAAGAGATACAGTGCTGACAGTTGATATCAAGATCAAGCGGTCAAGATTAAAAATATCTAGACAATTACACTTCCCACCACTGTGCACTATCCCAATCATACATCTTCTAAATATTTTTTCAATTTAATTAGAGTAGTACTCCTTTATGATGATTTGTTTTATGTGCAAAAAATCAGATTTTTGCGAAAGAAAGGCAATCAGAGCGGTTAATAGTACTTTCATGGCACATTCAAATCCATTATTTACAAAACTGAAAGTTCTTAATCTTGATGATACACACAAACTTAGTGTTCTGACATTTTATGCATGGATACTTTAATGATAACCTTCCCTCTTCCTTCTTTGGAATTTCCCGAGTTTTTAGTTTAAAAGCTAAGAATACTTATTTTCGAAAGATTAAAACTCAAATCTAAATAATCTGGATTAACTACATCTAAAAATAATTAATATATAGAAATTTAATCATATCTGCGTAACTTGGAAACTAGTAATTTGATATGTTCATTTTACTAACTGTGAATCAAGTTAGCAATCTTTTACGATTAGCTGATAACCTTTTAAACTCTTCTCATGATATTGTTTCATTTCAATTTTTCAATTTAAAAAAAGGCCCTTCTCGGTTTTGCATAAAAGAACTGAACCCACAAATTCTAATTTTGTAATTCTTATATCTTCGCAACCTGGTGCCCTAGGCTTTTGATATTTCAAACAAGTTAATTTTGTAAGATCAAATGGTCCGAATTTAAAATATTAATGGTTTCTACTCCATTAGATTACAAAGATATAGGAATAAGAAAATTTGAGTTAGGGTCAACTAAGTGTTCAATTTCTTTAAACCACATGTTTAAGAGAAACATCAATTTTTCTATTCGAATTTGCAATAAAATCAACGAGGTTATAGTGTATAGAGTGATGATGTACGCTAATCAACGAGGTTATAGTGTATAGAGGGATGATGTACGCTAATCCTTTACTAATTTTATAGGCCATAAACTATAACCAGAGCGTACTGCATATTTGTTTATTATAAGTTGATTCTGGCCTAACCAGGGAGTAAAGAATAGAAGGGAGTTATAACTGAAGCGGTTCGCCCTACCATATGATTATACATGCTTTGCAGACGGGTACTCCATTTGTATAAGAAATATTGAAAATAGGTTATTGTATACGCCGTAAATGTACATCAGACAAATATATCTTTTTCAAATGAAGTACCCGTCTGCAAAGCATGTATAATCATATGGTTGGGCGAACCGCGTCAGTTACATCTCCCTTCTACTCCTTACTCCCTGGGCGTAACCTATAGTATATCAATATTAGTAAACAGTTGTAAGTGTACAGTACAGCTAACTGAGCACACAGGTAGAGAACTATCACCCCCCTGTATATAATGCAACTACTTTTTAGGATGACAGTGATATAATATTTGCTGATTTGGATCATGATGGGGACGGAAAAATAGATTTCGAGGATTTTTCTTTCGGGTTCCGAGATTTTCTAGTTCCAGGTTCACGTAGAGGCAGCATTCAGCTGAGCCTTGTCCCTCCTCGCGGAGGATTACAGCGAGGTTATACAATGGAGGTCGTAGATGAAGAAAAACAGAAATCTATGGAGGTAAAGATATATTTTTTTTTTAATCTTTTTGGCTGTAATCTTTCTCAGTTAAAGGACTAATAAAACATTTTTATAAAGTAGGAAGCCTCAGAGCTAAACTTAATTTTAATAAATTTTTCATGTCATACAAATATATCACTTAAACACAATAAAAAAGTTATTTTTTTCTGTTATTTTAATCCTGCTTTTAACCGCCTTTCATTGGTCAAATTGTATTTTGAGCCTTGACCAATCAGAGACAGGTTTAATCAATTGGAGAGGTTGTTGAACTTCCTGCCACCGGTTCAAATCCTGAATCACCGGTGCATATCTTTATCAATCTTTAACTTTGAATCGTTGATTCAAAGGAATTGACTCTTTGCAACAAACCCTGATTTTCTAATCCCAATATCTTTGGATTCCAACGTCGTAAACCTTTGAAATTTCAAACTATGACTTTTGTTAGATCAAAAAATATAAGTTTGAAATATCAAAGGTTTACGACATTGGGTTCCAAAGATATTGGGATTAGAAAATCAGAGTTTGTGGCAAAATGTCAACTCCTTTAAACCGACAGACGGTGGTTCAGTGAAATAGCTCAAATTCTGTCCTAAAAATCACCACTTCAGTGGTCTTGAATTCGAAAGGTTATAAAGGATTTTAAGCTTAATTACGCATTTTATCTTCAAAATCATAAGTTCCGAAGTCTAGAATTATTGAAATCTGCTGCAAACTTCTATCCAAGTTAACCTAGACAAGGTTTTCATTTAAATGTAAATTTATTCTATGCATTTCAATTCTCTAAGATATGGCTCAAAGTAAAGTGAGAGAAAAAAGATTTAATATCGCCCAAGTGGAAGCCTTCTTTCCCAAATAGATTCTAGTACAATTGATGGCAACGTAGAACTTTACTTTCAGTACAGCTGTAATCTTACGTCACAAGTGTCAATTCAGTTTTCGTGTCTGACAAAATTATTAATAATAGTGATAATTTTAGAATAAGTGCTAAATATTACAATAAAATGAGTGCAATTTTTAAGTGTAATTTATTTTCTGTTTTTACACTTTTTATTTAATCTTGGAAAACAGGTCAACTTATGTGAAGACATGTTTTCTTGTTATATTTAAATTAGAGTTGAAATCTGCAATAAATGTTATTAATCTATAACTTTAGAACTGAGCTGAAAACTTTAATATGGTGGATATTGAGCTCAATGCTTGATTCTCTCTTTTTCTTAATCTCCAGATTAATTAACCGATCGGAATTAAGGATATCCCATTTCAGCTCGATTATGACTTCAAAAATGCAAATAATTGGCCATTATTTTTTGTTGTATCTCATTTAATTTTTGAAGATATTTGATGAAATTTTGTGTTTAAATATTCCAAAGGAAACGCTAGGCAGTTATTCTAACATTTATAAATACAAAGAAATAATTCTATAATATCCTTGCTTGGGACATTATATTATTACTGGGACATTATTGTATGCTGGGACAGAAAAGTACTGCCGGGATAGTACAGTATTGCTGGGACAGTACAGTATTGACGGGTCAGTACATACAGTATTGCTGGGACAGTACAGTATTGACAGGTCAGTACATACAGTATTGCTGGGACAGTACAGTATTGCTGGGACAGTACAGTATTGACAGGTCAGTACATACAGTATAGCCGGGATAGTACAGTATTGCTTGGAGAGTACAGTATTGACAGGTCAGTACATACAGTATTGCTGGGACAGTACAGTATTGACGGGTCAGTACATACAGTATAGCTTGGACAGTACAGTATTGCTGGGACAGTACAGTATTGCTGGGACAGTACAGTATTGACAGGTCAGTACATACAGTATAGCTGGGACAGTACAGTATTGCTGGGACAGTACAGTATTGACAGGTCAGTACATACAGTATTGCTGGGACAGTACAGTATTGCTGGGACAGTACAGTATTGCTGGGACAGTACAGTATTGACAAATCAGTACATACAGTATTGCTGGGACAGTACAGTATTGACGGGTCAGTACATACAGTATAGCCGGGACAGTACAGTATTTCTGGGACAGTACAGTATTGCTGGGACAGTACAGTATTGCTGGGACAGTACAGCATTGCTGGGACAGTACAGTATTGCTGGGACAATACAGTGTTGCTGGGACAGTACAGTATTGCTGGGACAGTACAGTATTGCTGTAACAGTACAGCATTTCTGGGACAGTACAGTATTGCTGGGACAGTACAGTATTGCTGGGACAGTACAGTATTGCTTGGACAGTACAGTATTGCTGGCACAGTACAGCATTGCTGGGACAGTACAGTATTGCTTGGACAGTACAGTATTGCTAGGACAGTACAGCATTGCTGGGACAGTACAGTATTGCTGGGACAGTACAGTATTGCTAGGACAGTACATTATTGCCATGCCATGGCAGTACGATAAAATTGAACAGTTAAGCATGAATGTATACTTTTCTGTAAGTTATACTGAAATGAACAAATTAGATTTGTATAAAACTAATCTGTCTCTTTTCATATATTTAATTAACCTTTTCCAGGGTTTCCGGTTTACGTAGTTTGTCTGTTTTGGATAAATCTTGTGTCTTTTCTTTGTTTTAGGTTTTATATCATAGATTAATAACATTACAGAAAGAACAATAAATTTTTGTCTTTTTAAGATTTCAGGTTTTTTCGTTCACAATAACCCTGAGGAAGAAGCCAAAAGGAGTTACGCGCATGCTCCGTTGAGTTACAAGACAGAGAGAGAGACTGTTTTACGTCGCATGCGCGTAACTCCTTTGGGTTCCTGCCTCAGGGTTATTGTGCACGAAAAATCCTTAAATCTTGAAAAGAGGACATTTAGTGTTCTGGCTGTGCTGTTATTACTCTATGTTTAGGAGAAGCACCGAAAGGCCCAGAATGCCTGGCAAAGTTTTGCAGACAACATGGGGAAAGATAATACTCGAAAGTAAATTTTTTCATTATTACATTTTTTTGTTTAAATTAGAGGTTTCCGAACATTTTATTTTCACATTTATTTCACTGAATTATGTTAAAAAGTACGTTTTACAGGTCTGCTATACAATTTGCATTTAGCTTTACATAATAAAAACATATTATTGCATTGTATGCCATTAAATTAAATCGTTAGTATTCCTCTTCTACACGAAATATGCCTTCACGTTTATTCAAGTAAAGTCTTAACAAAGATACTTATTACGAGCCACACAAACTATATCTTTGCAATCTGGAAAATCTGATTGTTCAAAATAGCAAAGGTCTACGACAAAATGTTGCAAAGATATGAGGATTAGAACGAAAGGCAAGTCTTCAGATGCTTAAACCAAAATTTAAGATTCTGGTTTGAGATTAAACAACACGTGAGTTTACTGTGTAACTGTAATCTGAGACTTTGGTTGATATTATGCTTGATGCATGCCTGCATAGACCTAGCTGGGCCTTGTGTAAGTAAATCAACGTATCATGGAATAAAGAAGGGAAAAATTTCCCAAATGCGCAATTTCCCAAGCGACACCTTCCCTTTAAAGAGCCGCAGGCTGCAATGGGGAACCCAAACGCTGCGGGTAGAATAGGCTGGGGACTGAGCGCTGAGTCTAGGACAGACTTGGGAAGTTGCCACTTGGGAAAATACCTTCGGTAAGTTGCCGAAAGTACCTTTATCTATTAGCCTCTTTGTATTGTCATCGCTGTCTGGTCGTCTTTACTTGTATATTAGCTATTCTGAGCTGAAAACTTTAGAATATTGGATATCTAGATCAATGCTTTATCTTCACTTTTTCTTAATTTCTAGATTAAGTAATGCTTGTTCTCCTCTTGTTAATAATCTCTAGATTAAGTAATGCTTGTTCTCCTCTTGTTATTAATCTCTAGATTAAGTAATGCTTGTTCTCCTCTTGTTATTAATCTCCTGATTAATTAACCGATCGGGATTAAGAATATCCCATTCTAAAGTTTTCAGCTCTGACCATATAATTCCATCTGATCAATCCCAAATGTTGATTGATTGATATTAGGGGCAGAAACCATGTTGTAATTGTAAATCATTGGAAGTATAATGCCAAATTGTAGAAAAAAATCCATACTGCAGAATGTTTACTGCAAGGGAGTGTTTATTTTTCTGTATATCATAACTTATCTCTTATATTAAATACTAATATTTACTTCTTTTAACACCCCAAATGCAGTACACATTTCTGAAGTGCAGTACACGTAGGGTTTTAAAAACGACCCACTCGTTTTGAACTTTTAGAAAACGAATAGGAATCGTTTTTGAAAACGATCGTTTTTATAAAAACGATTTGCGACCGTTTTTTATACGATTGTTTTAAAAAACGATCATTTTTGAAAAAAATTGTATTGACAATTATGTTAACGATCGTTAACGAAGGGTCTTTAAAAAACGATCGTTTTAAAAAACGACCATTTTTAGAAAACGAACTTTAAAAAAACGATCGTTTTTAAAAATGATCGTTTCTTTTTCGATTTGTTGTCGTCGTTTTCATAACGAAACGATAGTTTTTCTGAAAAATAAAAACGTTAACATCCCTAAATATACGTACACAAAAACTTTTCAAAGTTCACAATGACATATGAAGTGTAATTTCATGTCCTTCAATGTACTTTCAACCCCAATCCCATTTGGGATGAGAAATGGAATTATATGGACCCCTCTGACTCTGGTAATCTCTATCTCACAATTATAAAGAAACCAAAACTGAAAATAACCAAGTTTTCAAAAAGAGAAATCATGTTCTTTATTGATTAGACAACGGTACCGCCGTAAATCGGACATGCCACGCTAAGAATTTACTTCAGAAACCACAAACATAGCTCTCAGCCAATCAGAGATTACAGAAATTCAAGTTAGCTTTTTTAACCCTATCCCGATTGGGCTATCTTAGTCTAATATAGATTGGCGGGGGGGGGGGGGGGGTTCCGACCCCGTTTGATTTTGCGTTTAGAGTTGAGATTATGGAGTGTGATACATGTCCTTAGTCCAATTTTACAAGGCCTGCTCATTAATAAAAAAATTAGATCTCTAACTTAATGGTAAGGGTATAGCAAGGAGAATTGAATAGAAGGACTGGGCAATAGGGGTTCCGTACACTTTGCTTTGACGTTTTTAGACTGCTGAAGAACTAGTTTTTGCGTAACAACAATAACAAAGGCAGCCGATCTAATGTAAACAAACATGAGTTAGTATACGGTGAATCTTCATCTAACGCGCCAGAGATGCCAGATGTCTGTTTATCATTTGTGTTATTGTTTACAATCTTTATTATTGTTGTTACGCAAGAACTAGTTCTTCAGCAGTCCAAAAACGTCACAGCAAAGTGTACGGAAACCCTATCGCCCCCTCCTTCTATTCAATTCTTCTTGGGGTACAGTAAGGGAGAATTTTTAAAAAGTTCAAAAAGTATGTAGAAAATTTTTTCAAAATAATCATTTTTACTTTTAACAAATATTAACGTATGACACATGTTCTTGTATCTATTTTTTAAGGCCTTTTCAAATACATAAGTCTGAGACCTGTAGCTTAATTAATAAAAAAGTTATAAATCATTTCTGACTTTTTTAAACACCGACCCACCAAAAATTTTTTTTCACAGCTATGATGTTGAAAAAGTGAAGAATTTTTAGCGTTCTAATGTAAGCAATTTTAAAGTTATTCAGAATAAACCAAAGGAGGGGGGACATCCCCTCCCCAACCCTGATGGGGTTAAACTAGAAAGCTTCAAATTAAACACATCCTTTGTTTGTGTACACTGTAAATCTCGGATGACAATTTCCGCCAATTTTGAACTACAATCTTCCATTATGGCGATTGTAAATGCCATTGTTTACGAGTTACCCAGTCGGATATTTCCAAATACTTTTTTTCTTCTTTCTTCATTCATTAAATTATCTTCTTCATGTTAGATTAAAATGTATTTTATGGTCTTCAACTTCAACTTTAATTATTTAAAACCCATTTGCAATACTTTAATACCATAAAACCCATTTGAAGTGCTTTAATGCCATAAAAATCATTTGTTGTACTTTAATACCATAAAAATCATTTGTTGTACTTTAATACCATAAAAATCATTTGTTGTACTTTAATACCATAAAACCCATTTGCAGTGCTTTAATGCCATAAAAATCATTTGTTGTACTTTAATACCATAAAACCCATTTGCAGTGCTTTAATACCATAAAAATCATTTGTTGTACTTTAATACCATAAAACCCATTTGCAGTGCTTTAATACCATAAAACCCATTTGTTGTACTTTAATACCATAAAAACCATTTGCTGTGTTTTAATACCACACGCCTTGATGATACTTAATTTCATCTTTTGTTCGCTATTAATCATCTTCTTATTACGAGGTCTTGTTTAATAACATAATTTTGATATAGCTAATCACTTAGAGCTTATCTGTAAAAGTGAACCCACTCAATCAAACTAGAATTTCTAAACCAGGCTAAGAACATTTCCGTGGTTACGAAATCAAAATTTGAGAAAATCAGTCTAGTGGTTCAGCTGAGTTATGATTGGACATCTAGACTTACAAAAGAGCGGAGACAAGATTCTTTCAATATTTGAGGAATTACGAGGAAGTAACGCTCCTCCCCATCTAGTGGAGGTAATTTATTAACTAATCTGCACTCCATCTATTAGATTTAATGTTAACTGTAAACAAGCTCACCTAGCGAATGTAATATATTAACAAATCTGCACTCCATCTATTGAAAATAATGTTAACTGTAAACAAGCTCAACTAGCGGAGGTAATATTAACTAATCTGCACTCCATCTATCAGAGATAATGTTAACTGTAAACAGTCCCATCTAGTGGAGATAGTTTTAACTATAAACAACCCCATGTAGTGGAGGTAATGTTGAATTAAAATTACCCCATTTAGCGGAGAAAATATTAACTAACATTTCTGATGATGAAAGTATTGATATGGTTTTGTGTTTAGGGGTTTGAGGACGCATTGTCTTCTCTGCTAAAAGATGTTCGAACCATAGAGACAGAACAACAGCAGATGGAAGATCAATTTAATAGGTTGAATATTTTAGAGTTACCGGAGCTGGGAACTACTGTATTGTGGATTTTGAGATCATTGATTGATTTCGATCTTTTGTTAATCTGCAGATTCATTCAATCTTAATTCGATATCCCGTGAAGTGTGAAAAACTAACAGCCAATCAGAAGAAAAGGAATATTCAAAATGTAAAACTTAAAAGTGCCGAGATCAAGCGATTGGAATTATGGTGGCCCAACTAGCTCTCAACATAAAGGACTAAAAGGAAAGCTAATTCGGGGGAAGAAGAAAAACTTGTTTAAACCAATCGTGATCTAATGATTAAATAAGCAACTGAATATATTTCTAGAGAACGGGAGAACCATAGCGCACATCTTGCATCTATTGAAGCAGAGCTGGATATTCAAGTAGCAAAGGTAAAATTATGAATTTCTTAAACCCGAGTAAAGCCCGGCTTATTGACATTTCGAGCGCAAGTGGTTCTGACTCGACAAATGAGAGACTGCTTAGAAAGCTTTCTCTCTGTAGCAGACGGATCAGGAGAGGTAAATTTAAAATATTCAAACTTTACATAGATTCAATATTTTCAACGTATGTTTAATCATACATTTGATCAGATTCGATACTACAAATAATTCCCAAGATTTTAAATTTACAAATATAATGGTTTTTACGATATTTACGATCATCAGCTGTTTAAGACCCAAGCCTTCAGAACGAAAAACCCAAAGCGGTTGGTTTTTACTAAAATCCATCCAAAACCCTGAGTCTAGACTTGAACTTTACATACCAGGTTTTACTCGGGCTTGAGCTTTCAAAACCTTAGCTCTGTGTCCGAACTTAATGAATTTAAGTTGCCTCTCAAATCCCCCAAAAACCGGTTTCAATTGAACGCCTACTTAAATCTTAAAAAACTGAATAAAATTTTAAGTGAAACCAACCATATTTGCGCCACAGCTCAAATTCTTTAAATTCGGCCTCTGGGTTTTGCTTTTTTTAAATCCCACCTCTGGAAACAATATCACTTTGTTTATATTCAATAAAGTGTACTTCAATTTCTGGGATGAATGTAAACAAGATATTGTAGGTTGAAGCTGCCGTAAGAGAAAAGGCAAAGCAGGATTTTGAAGCTGAAAAAAGAGCACTTCAGGTGAGAAATGTATTCTTTGGGGTTTTGTTGTAAAAACTTCAGACATATGGGTGTAAAGGGTTACCCCAATCAAGGTTATAATGCAAGAAAAGTTATTTCAGAGGTGTACGCATCTTTTGTACTGCAGTGTACTGTCTCTGGGCGGTAATGTAAACACAAGACGGATGTTGAAGCATGACAAAGGATCCATCTTTCACAAAAAAAATCCATGAAATATTCTGGTCATAGGAAACTTTTATGTGAATTATCAAAATTGAATGCTTTTAACCTTCTCGGATACTAAACGAACACTGATGCATCTATTCTTGTTTACAAATTCCGACAAAAGAGAACTTGTTTCAATATGTAAGCAAAGTATACACAACTGCAATTAACTTTCCTTGCATTATAACCTTGACCCCAATAGAGTGAGACGATTGTGCGGAAGTTATTAAGTCCTTTTTTAAATTAATGGTTCCCTATAGCTTTAAATCTTTTGCGCTCTTAGTTAAATAATTTGGTGTACATAATAGAGACCAAGTTTAACCCATAGAACGTCGAAATTGAAGAATTTTATGTCTTCATTAAGGTTGCATTATTCTTTTATGGTAGCCCCGTTCGTACTTTGCTTCAAGTATAAAAAGACTAAAAGTTTAAAACGAAAAAACGCCCATTTTTCCAAAATCTTTCTTGAGGTTTTCTTTTCTTTTGAAAAGTAGAGTATTGTATTCTAGCTGTCGAGAAAATTTACTTTTTTACTCTTTGACATTGCAGGGGTTTAATGTTTAATGAAGGAAAAATTTCAGTGGCGTCCGTTCAAGTTGAGAAGCACTTCTTTAAATTAAAACATGATGCTCAGAGCTAGGATTGTATGAATATGTGGTATGGGGGGGGGGGGGTATAGTTAAAAATAATACAAAATATAATTGAAAATAGATTGAAAATGATGTTTATTTGGGCAAAAGGATGTGGAAAAAGTGCTTAAGATTGAGTTCATCTGAAACATCTTTTGATTTTGAAATCCTTTTACTAATTTTTGTGACAGGGATTAGAAACTTTGATTTGGAGGCAAAGAATCAATTCCTCTGAAATTGTGAAAATAATTTTTAACATTAACTTTCAAATTCAGAAATCTCAAAATAAAGTTACATAGTCAAATATTAGGAAAAAGTAATTTTATAAGATGGTGTAAATGATTTCTTTTTGGAAACAATATCCATTTTTTGTATAATTTCTTACAAAATATATTTTGTGTTATGCAGAATATATCTAGTAAAATATATTATACAAATCATATTTTGTATAATATTATATTTTATAAGATATCTAACAGAAAATATTTTGTATAATATCTAACAGAAAATATTTTGTATGATATCTTACAGAATATATTTTGTATAATATCTTACAGAATATAATTTGTGTAATATCTTACAGAATTTATTTTGTATAATATCTTACAGAATATACTTTGTGTAATATCTTACTAAATTTAGTTTGTATGATATCTTACAGAATAGATTTTGTATAATATCTTACAGAATATATTTTGTGTAATATCTTACTAAACTTATTTTGTATGATATCTTACAGAATATATTTTGTATAATATCTTACAGAATATATTTTGTATAATATCTTACTAAATTTATTTTGTATGATATCTTACAGAATAGATTTTGTATAACATCTTACAGAATATATTTTGTATAATATTTTACAGAATATATTTTGTGTAATATCTTACAAAATATATTTTGTATAATATCTTACGGAAAATATTTTGTGTAATATCTTACTAAATTTATTTTTATGATATCTTACAGAATATATTTTGTATAATATCTTACAGAAAATATTTTGTGTAATATCTTACTGAATTTATTTTGTATGATATCTTACTGAATATATTTTGTATAATATCTTACAGAATAGATTTTGTGTAATATCTTACAGAATATATTTTGTATAATCTAGCTCACAGAATATATTTTGTGTAATATCTTACTGAATTCATTTTGTGTGATATCTTACTGAATATATTTTGTATAATATCTTACAGAATATATTTTGTGTAATATCTTCCAGAATATATTTTGCAAAATATGTTACAGAATATATTTTGTGTAATATCTTACAGAATATATTTTGTGTAATATCTTACTGAATTTATTTTGTATAATATCTTACAGAACATATTTTGTATAATATCTTACAAAATATATTTTGTATAATATCTTATAGAATATATTTTGTGTAATATCTTACAGAATATATTTTGTATAATATCTTACTGAATTCATTTTGTATAATATCTTACTGAGTTTATTTTGTATGATATCTTACTGAATATATTTTGCATAATATTTTACAGAATATATTCAGTATTTTACAGAATATAGTTTATATAATACCTTACAGAATCTATTTTGAAATGTATGTTTTCAACCTACCATTAATTCAAATTTAAATATTATTTTTATTCAGGAAAAAATGGAAACTGAGATCCTGGAACTACAATCCCATCTCAGGTATGGGGGAAGAAAGTACGGGGAAAGAAAGTATGGTGGAAGAAAGTATGGGGGAAGATAGTATGGTGGAAGAAAGTATGAGGGAAGAAAGTATGGTGGAAGAAAGTATGGAGGAAATCTATAAATATTTATACTCTGCTTGTCTGTTTGTCTTTAATTTGTATCCAATAAACGTCAAAACGGCTGAACAGATCAGGCTCAAATTTTTTGTGGGACCTCACATAACCCTAAGGAAAGTTTATGAATGTTGAGAATTGTAAAAAAATTCCCTCCAACAACATTTAATTTCCATGAAATTAAAAATATCCACGAAATTTTATTTTAAAATCCGCGAACTTTTTGTTTTGTTTTTGTTTTACAATGTATACAAAGAGAAAATGTTTACTATTTAAACAGCTGCAGTGAGAACGAGAAAACTCTGAATTAAGAAGACGACTTTTAGACTGAATTATGACTTTAAATAGTCCTTTGAAAAAGAGACACGAATTTAGCAGTGTAAACATACTAGTTTAACTTAATAAATATTCTAAAAAGCTCTGTAACAACATAGAATAAACTTTGATATTGCAATTATGTTTTGTCTACATCACGCACCTCTGACCTTTCAGTAAAAGTAAATTCAACCTAAAGTCTGACCGCGTCAATCTTGTTGCACCGGCTAGTCCTATTGAGTGTCTGCTTTATTTACCCAATGTCCTGGCGACACAGTACAAACTGGGACCGGAAAGGTTGATCCGGCTCGGAAATTCAAATGTATTACAGCTGTCCGTGTCATACTACATAGTTTTCTGCTTGGTTCTCACAGCAGTAATATAGATTTGACATGCATAGGTAACTAAACAAAAAAAATCGAATCATTTTTTAGAGTTTAGAGTTTTAAAAAATTTTAGTATCGATATTTTATAATCTATTTAACGAGTTAAATTATAAATATCATGTTTTTTTTTAAAGGAAAATAGAGAATTGAAACAATTGGTCTCAGAAACACAAACTAATATTGCTATTTTAAAGTAAGTCAAACATTTTTACTTATCTATCTAATTTGATCAAAACTGATAACTTATGAAATAGATATAACCTCAAACTTTTGAAATTTTTTTTTATTTGTTTAATTTTTGTTGTAATTTTTATAAAATTATTTGTTGCTGAAAGTGTTTGTGGCAATTTAAGTATTCCTATTCTGTTTTTCAAAGAAAATATAAAATGAAACCATCTTATCTATATTTGCATCCCTTTCTTTATCAAAGAAAACACTGCAAACCCCAATTCGCCATTTGTTGCACGTATAATTCTGAGAAAAATTGCATTTTTGTAAGATTAAGTTTAAGACTGCAAAGTAGGGAGATAAAATTGAAGTCATAATTATCCTGTCTCTAAACTTTAACTTTTATCTTCTTCAAAAAAAAAGATTAAAAGCAAAAAAAGTTTGAATTCTAAAGGAGTTGAGTTTTTGTTACAAACTCTGATTTTCTAATACCTATATCTTTACAACACAATTTTGTAGACCTGAGATATTTCAAACAATTAATTGTTAGGTCAAATTCTAAAATTTTAAGTGAGTTGAGTTTTTGTCACAAACTCAGATTTTCTAATATCTATATCTTTGCAACACAATTTTGTAGATATTTTAAACTATTAATTATGTAAGGTAAATGTAAACCTTACATAATCAGTTTTCAAAGATATAGGGATTAAAAAATTGTACAGCATGTGCAGTACATTTTCTCATTTTCTTACTCTATCCCAGTTGGGCTATTTTTATCTAATATAGGTTGGGGGGGGGGGGTATTTTCCACCCCCTCCTATGATTTTGCCCTTAGTGTTGAGATAAGGGAGTGTGATACATGTCCCTAATCCAACTTTTCAAGGCCTAATCATTAAAAAATATATCTCTATCTTTAATTGTTAGGGTGCAAGGAATGATTTTTTTTAAATGTTCAAAAAGTTGGAAAAATTTTAAAAAATATATATTTTTACTTTTAGCAAATATCAACATGTGACACATGTTATGACATCTATTTTTTAATGGCTTTTAAATGTAAAAATGCAAATTCTGCAGCTTAATTAATAAAAAATTTATTAACCATTTCTAAATTTTTTTTAAACACCGACCCGCCATTTGACTGTCCTTTACCCTAACCTTTGCATAAAACAAAATAAAGAATTAAGCAAAATTTGTTCACAACATTAGGTTGAAAATATGAAGAAATTTTAGCGTTCTAATGTAGGCCGTTTTAAGGAATTTAGAAAAAAACAGAGGGGTGTTGGGCGTGGTTAAAACACGCCCCACCAAAGGGTTAAAAGTAATACACTGCAGTATACTGTCAAACAAACAAAAAATATCAAAATGCAAGAACAATCTTTTTAAATTTTAATTTTAAGATCGTCTACTTTTAATTTTTATCATTTACGGCTGCTGCCCGGTATTTTTTCACTTCATCAAAACATCTTTTGTTCTTGTTTTTCAATATATCTGATAAATAAAATAGTTTAGATTTTTAATTTGAAATGCTTCAAATTTTTTCAGCAATATAAATTCTTTCTAAAAAGATTGAAAGAGAACACATTGTTACTTGATCTGTTGTTTATCACTTTTTTTGTCTCAAAAGTCTTAATCTTATATATATAGCTATATAGTTATATAGAACGTAGATTTACTCCAAAATATTGGTAATTAGAACACTGCCAAAAGAAGGGCGTCCTAAACTAGGGCTTATTGAATCGGAAATTGTACGTAGATTTTAAAAAAATGGTCTCAATCTTGAAAATCCGATTACAAACGATTCTGTATACCCTTATTCTCAGTTTTTTTGAGACACCCTGTGTAAATGTCGAATTCAATTCGATGCATTCGTTTATTATAGTTGAAGTTCGATATCAGCCTATATACCCCCTTTCATTTTTCACTAGCACTATCTTTAACAATGAAAAGGCAATTATAGAGTCACAGAGTGTTTTACGTAAGTACAAAACGGGTGATCGGTTGATAAAAAAACTATTTAAAAATTTGTTCTATTGAGATAAAAAATGTATCTATTTAAAACTTTTTTATCTAAAAAACTCCTGATAATATCAGTTTGTTTAACATAGGCTTGTTTTTTGCTTTTAGTAGTCCTAAATATTTTTGAACTATACAGAACTTATTTTCGAAAGGAATTGAGTTTTTGCCACAAACTCTGATTTTCTAATCTCTATAACTTTGTAACCCAATGTCGTAGACCTTAGATATTTCAAACTATTAATACTTATAGATAAAATAATCTAAGTTTGAAATATCAAAGGTTCGCACCATCAGATTGCAAAGATATTGGGATCAGAAGATTTGAGTTTGTGACAAAAACTCAATTCCTTTAAGGAGTAATTGGCGAAATTCTCATCGATTACAACTGTGATGTTTTGGAACTATACAGAACTTATTTTCGATGTTTAAGGAGTAATTGGCGAAATTCTCATCGATTACAACTGTGATGTTTTGGAACTATACAGAACTTATTTTCGATGTTTAAGGAGTAATTGGCGAAATTCTCATCGATTACAACTGTAATATTTTTTAGGTCTGAGATGAGTCAGTTAAAGAACCAGTATGAGAGTAGAGTTGAAGAATTAACAAGGTAAACAGAACAGAGCCGCCATTTAGATGGATAGTACACACACTGATTATACCAGAGCCCAAAATTTTGGTTGAACAAAACTGATGAGTTTCCTTTTTAGGGTATTAACATTTGTGTATATGAAATATGAAATATGAAAAAAAAATAAAAAAAATATTTTATTTCATAACAAAAATATTGATATCAACAAAACTGCCTAACCCCGTTCGTGAAACCCGGGTTCCAAAATTGGGTTTCATAACTATACATTGTCTTAAGTTTTGGGCTCAAGCCAAACAGGATAGAACAACAAATAACCTCCGTCTAGGAAAATTAAAGTGTTGGTTGATTTCCACTTGAAATCCGCAAACACAAACAAAATCATTGAAAAAGAGGAATGTTAACCCACAGACTTCACAGACTGTTTATATCCTTTCACAGGGTGGGCTACGTTAACGTAGGCCTAAGTTGGCCCGGCACGACAAGCTACGTTTTTACGATAGGTTTTAGAATGCCATCTCACGGCCACTTGTTGAGCATAATACCCATTCAGGGGTTAAGTTTTACAACTTTTAAAGAAATACTCCAATTTTAAACATGAAACATAAAATTTCTGAATTCAGTCTTTTTTTGAAGATTTTGTGTTTCGTATCCTTCAATATCCCTGAATACAGATGTTTGCTGATTGGTCGTGTACAGTACTTGTACACAGTAGAACATGCTGTGGAAAATATCGCATATTTTAGCTGATAAACGATCTCTGCAAGAAATATATAGACCAGGAACCGCCATATCTGATGCGTCAAATCTGTGTACTGCAGTGGGAGGAGATCAAAACAAAGAATTCAGGGGCAACACATCATTTTTGAGGGAAAAGGGCCCCAGGGGTGGATTAAGAATATATTGCTATTGTATTTTCCATATTTACCAGAAAGCCAAAAATCATAAGTATTCGCTCTAACTTGATATATTAACTTGTTTTTTGTTGGACTGTAATATCACATCAGAGCTTTAGTTCTTTCCCTTCAACTTCTGTGGGGGCATTGGGTTTGTTTACATTCCTCCCACAGAGTACAGTACACAATTTGCGTACATCTGAGTTGGGCGTTCCTGTATACAGTTCCTTGGATCTCTGTAACTATCTTATCTCTGTCTTAAACTGATGAAGGAGCTAAGCTACGAGTAGCATGAATAGAAGATGTCAGTACAAAGAAAATGTGTTTGATAAACAATTTTTAACATTTTCCGTATTTACATTTAAAAAATGGTAATTTTTTAATAAAATTATAATTAATGTTGTTTTCTGTTTCGGGCTTAACATAAAAACCTTATTTGGAAATTTAAAAATTGAAGGTCCTTAAAAAGGGAGTGTTCGCGAAAAATGAAAGGTGGTACAGGCTCAATGCGATAAAAAAGCGCTTTTGATAGCTACTAATCTTACTTCTATCTGTTGCGTCTGTAAGGAGTCTGAGGCTGGCTAAACCACCCTAATTCTTCGAGTACAGCAATTTGGATGATTCATCCAAATTGTCAGGAATAGTCCCTTTAAAACTATAAACTTTTTGGTACGAGCATGAGGCCGGTACGAGTAAGCGCAAAAAGAGCGCGTAGGAGCGGTAGACGAGCGGTACCAAGTTTTCATCGGGCCTTGTAGGGCCTTTTTAGCTTCACTTCCATATCTTCCGGCGTAGTAACAACTAATCTAAATTTTTAAACTTATATTTTACTTTCAGATAATATGCAATGGGAAATCATTTAGACTTGAGCTCCCATCTACAGATCAGTATTTCTGTATAAAATTGTTAAAGACGTCTCATACCGAATAACTTTGCCTCCATACAAATTGAGAAAATTGCAACATACTACTTGGACCGTAAAAAATCAACTTAATTTCAAACAAATCATTCAGATATTACAACCTATAGTCATCGATTATCTTTCGCCACGTTTGTATATAGTTTATATTTTATAATATTTTTGATTTAGTTTTTTTAAAGATATTCCTCTGGTGCTGGATTTTCGAACATTCCTGGAAAATACGAAAATGTCGTCTTCATTAGCAAAAATCCTCGAAACAGGAATAAAAGTAACTATCAGTTCATAAAAAATAGAAAATATTATGAAATATCAACTAAATACGCATGTGTCAAAAAATATCGATGATTATCGGTTGTAATAACTGAATGATTTGTTTGAAATTAAATTGATTTTTTTACGATCCGAGTTATATGTTGCAACTTTCTGCATTTGTATTAACGTTGCATTCTTCGGTGTGAGTCGGATTAACAATTTTCTCCTTATAGACGCAAGTTGCGTCACGCAACACCTTGAAGAAAGATTAGTAGCGATTAAAAGCGCTTTTTTATCGCATTAAGCGTATACCCCCTTTCATTTTTCGCGAACACTCCCTTTAAGCTTTCTGTCGTTTCAAATACTTTAACTATGTAAAATAAATTCATATCAGCCCACTTCAAACTAAAGTAAATTTCACGGAAAATTGAAATCATGTACACGTATTTAATTATTAATTCTGTTATTTGGAGTTTTTAAGAAGAACAGCATTAAAATCAAAACAAGAGAAGAATCTTGGTTAGCAAAGTCCAATCACAAAGGAATTGAGTCTTTGTCGCAAACATATAATGTTCTAATCTCTATATCTTTGTAGCCCAATGCCGTATTTAAAACTATGAATTCTGTTAGAAGGAAAAATCTAAGTTTGAAATATCAAAGGTTTACACCATCAGGTGGAAAAAATATAGGTATTAGAAAATCAGAGTTTGTTACAAAGACTCAATTCCTTTAACACAATTTTGACCGTCACCTTCTGTCTAGTTCACAGTGTGAATCTTATAGAGAAAGTTAGAAGAGAAGTTTCGACATTAAAACTAGTTTTCTCTGAGAGTATGATAAATCATGGAATATAAAGTTTCATAAAAACTAACATATTGGTTTAGAAAATATAAAAATACGGTTTTATGAATTTATATTGATGTCAGCACAGGAAACATAAAATTCTATTAAGCTATCAATACTATACTACTTTATAGTGGTACAGTAATCACGTGGATTTAACGGTTTTGTTAATATTTCAGAAAGCCGTGACTTTCGATCACAATCTGACCCATAAAACATAATTTGTTAGCCTTTTTTCTTAAATACTTTTTTGTCGGCATATGTATTTTGAATAAAAATGTATAAAATAAACAAATCCTTAAAGTAAATGATTATTGAATTAAAGACCAAAACACGTTTGATTTCAAATAGAAGAAACCGAATGCTGCTAACTCTGGTTAGTCCGGTGTGTAATGTAATAGAAAATTTTAAGTAGTTCATTTGCTCTAATAAAACTGAATTTTTTTCTCTTCTTTCTTGAGATAAAAATCCTTTTGCCTATTTTTGTTGTTTAAATCCAGAATTTCTTCCTAAGAATTCGATTGCCGTAGGTTGTAAGTGTTTAGCCCTATTCCTGCTGGGGGGGTCAATTTGACCCCCCCTAAAGTTTTTTTTTACATAACTCAAAAGGTATTGGTCTGAGGCTGTTGAAATTTTCTGACTTTTCTTACATACCCAAAGCCCTCCATTTAGGCCTAAAACAGGGCTTTAATACTAACTGTCTGAGTCCTCAGGCACACTGCCTTAATGACTGCTTTTTCCTGTAACAACCTAAATCTTTGTTTTGACCCACTTCCACTTGTCAGATTTTAAAAAAATTTAGCTTTTTGGAAAGCCTTTGACATAAGGAAACGAATTGCAAAAGTTTTGCGAAAAGAAATTGCAAATTTTTTGCAAACAACCTGTCAAAGGAAATTATTTAAAATTTTGCAAATTTTTTTGCATATTTGAAAAGGCATAGTCGAGGGCTTTTCAAAAATGTATAATTTTTAATTTTTTGGACAATTTTTTTTGCAAACATTTTTACTATATAACTGGATTTTGCGATAAAAAATTCAATTTTTGAAAATTTGCAAATTTTTTTTCAGATTCTAAAAGTAGAGCACAAGAGCTTTCCAATGATGTATCATTTGTCATATTTGGACATCAAACATGGGATTTAGAGGGGGGGGGGGGTCAAATTGACCCCCCCCAGCATATCCTGGTTTTCAAGTACCCCAGCAGAGATAGGGTTAAAGTCAGAAGTAAATAAAACACTCTTATTAATCGTTTCGAGAAAGTGTTTTTACAAGTGAGACATATATCTGATTAAGGTAATAATACAAATCTATTAAAATTTTGAATTCTTTTTAGTATGTAAATTTGATACCTGTAAGAAGTTGATTAATATATAGTATCTTCCAGTTTACATTTAGGAATTCCCAAGAGAATTATCCAAGGCGCTAGTATTCCTCCATATCCCATCTATTCCCAGACTTGGTTTTGAAAAATATTTATTAACCCTATTCCTGCTGGGGGGGGGGGCAATTTGACCCCCCTGTAGTTTTTTTTACATAACTCAAAAAGTATTGGTCTGAGGCGGTTGAACTTTTCTGACTTTTCCTACATACCGAAAGCCCTCCCTTTAGGCCTAAAACCAGGCTTTAATACTAACTGCTACTGACCGCTTTTTCCTGTAACAAACTAAATCTTTGTTTTGACCCACTTTCACTTGTCAGATTTTGATAAAATTTAGCTTTTTGGAAAGTCTTTGACATAAGGAAACGAATTGCACAAGTTTTGCGAAAAAAATTGCACATTTTTTGCAAACAACCTGTCAAAGGAAATTTGCACATTTTTAGTTTTTTTTTTAATTAAAAATTAGGTTATTTAAAATTTTGCAAATCTTTTTGCATATTTGAAATGGCAGGGTCAAGGGCTTTTCAAAAATGTATAATTTTTCATTTTTTGGACAATTTTTTTTTGCAAACATTTTTAAGCTATATAACTGGATTTTGCGAGAAAAAAAATTCAATTTTTGCAAATTTGCAATTTTTTTTGCAGATTCTAAAAGTAGAGCACAAGAGCTTTCCAATGATGTATCATTTGTCATATTTGGACATCAAACATGGGATTTAGAGGGATAGGCAGCAGAGATAGGGTTAAGCTCGGAACTTTGTATTGTTAATTCCATC